CTCTGACCTCTCCCAATGCAAAGATCTAATCTAAGCCAAAAAGAATGAAGCGTGGAAGAGGATACAGAAATGCAGAAGATGAAACTGGGGTAGAGGATGCTGTACTATGTGTATTACGGCCCTGGCTTTACCAATAGGAGGACTGTGCACCATAGTGCGAAGCCCTTGGTGATTCTTTAGGATAAAAGGTACTTTAATAATGAAACTTACTGATATCCTTTTATGTAGCTAAACAGGAGCTACACTGGAACAAAGTGACCCACTGAGCACCATGGGCTGCTACCATCCCGAGTTTAATGCTGAGTAGAATGCGAATCCATTTTATCACAGCAGTGCATTGAGGGTCAAAATGGATTTGCAGACAGGGCAGAATTCCAGCAGCTTAGCTCCCGGGAGCACACGACAGCTGCTCTGACCACACAGCAGCTCTTAAAGAGACAGAGCGCAAACAGGCGCAGTCTCATCCTCAATCCTTAGGACAGCACACGGAGAAAGAGAGAAGACTCTCACTGCAGAGTGGTTTGATCGACTACAGTTTTTACAAGCTCCAGGCTGTTAAAAACAATTGCTGACACCAAGTCCTAAATAATTTAAACTCGACCCTCCAAATGAGAGTCAAGGCAGGGGGGGCTCCAAATGAGGCGTACGTGAATAGAGCCTTGTATGAATTTAAAATTACATTGGGTGTCTTTCTCTTTTAAGGGGTACAGTTCTAGCAATTGCCCATTCCTGTACATCCTGAAAAAGACAATCCTTGACCTGGTTCTACATTAGCACATCTGGTTCCTGGAAAACTAAGATGCATAATAAAAAAAAACTCTGATGCACCAGTATTAACAGCGCTGTATTAAAACCTTGCAACAGCCTCTGATCAATTTAGAACATGACTGAGAGTGGAAGGTTTTCAGATCTTTGATCCAGATCTCTAATTTAGCCATAGTGTAACCTTAACTAAATGTGCTTAACTGATCCACTCACAAAGGTGTCCCATTTACTAAAAACGTGTAGTTTAGTGGAAATAAGCTACAGCACTGGGGCTCTCCAATCCAATTTAGACTGCACCAGCCAGGTGGCGCTTGACTAATGTCTCCACGGCTCAGACCAGAACAGAACCTGCCCTGCCCTCCACCCAATTACACCCACACGATCTTCAACCTGCGACGGCACCGACCCCTCAGCTTCCCAACCCACCTTGAGTCTCCTCAAACTGTTCCAGCAGGCTGGTCAAATCGGACGCTTCGATTCCTGCAAGAAAGGGATCGGATGTGGTGAGAGAGAGAGAGAGAAAAATCCTGAACAATTCACACTTCCTGTGCGGTAAAGGGATCTCGGCTTCATAACTTTTATCAACCTCTGGCGAGCACAACTACACTCAAGATGCCGTGTTGTTATTTTCGACGCAAGAACCCGCTGCCACCACTCCGCTCTGTGGATGTGCGACACGGCCCCGGGGCTTACCGATCTCACTGGTGAAGGCCTGGATGAGGGCCTCGGCAGGACTCGGCTTCCTGGAGGCGGCTGGCCGGGCTGCGGCCGAGACTGGCGGGGCGCAGGTCTCCGCTCTGGGAAGTTTGTCCCGGGCTGGAAGGCGGGGGTTCACAGCAGCAGCAGCAGCAGGCACAGGGCGAGACGGAGGCACGCCCTGGGCAGCCGAGGTCAGAGAGAAGGCGGGGGCAGGGGAAGGGGCAGGGCACTTAGTCGGCCCACCCACACGGGCAACGGGGTCCGCTGCCCCCGAGTTGCTCTTGGGAGAAACGCTATTAGACTGTGGTTTAAGGGTCTCTGTAGTGGTCTGGGCCAGGGGTTCACGAGCCTCTGGAGGGCTGGTGGGAAGGGCCCGCACAGCGGGGCCCAGCCGGGAGCCTTTGTCAGGGAGACCGGCTGCAGGAGCGGGCTTCAGCTGCTGGCCCAGGCCGGGAGTCACGGCTGGCCGACAGGAGCCCTGTAGTGGTACTGCCCTGTTGCAGGGGCCCGGCCCCCCCGAGCGGGCAGCGCTCTGCTGAACGCCGGGGTCGGGCGCGGCTACTTTCAGAGCGCAGGGCGGCCTGGGCGTAGTGATCACTGGAGCAGGTTTCGGGAGAGAAGAAGAGTTCGGAGCACCTTCTGGGGCAGGCCTGGCTGTGGCTTTCGAGGCGGGGGCGGGCTTGATGGGGGCCGACGCCGACCCCGGCGGCACCAGCAGGGCCTCAGGGGTTGGCGGCGCCCCGGGGCCGATGGGCTGCCACGCTGGCATGGCGCTGGGCGCCGGGTCGACAGAGGCCCTCCGCAGGCCGGGGGGGGTGGGCTCGGGAAGGCAGGGGATGGGCGGGAGCTCCCTGGGCAGCTCGGGCAGCGTGGGCCACTTGGGGCGCTGGTCCTCGGGCTTCTCCACCGGTTGCGGCTTTTTCTTCTGCCGCAGCAGCCGGTACTCCTCCAGGCTCAGCAGTCTGGGCTTGGGCTCCTTGGGCTGGGGGGCAGACGGGCCTTCTCCGCCAGCGGCGGTCTTGCCACCCCCCTGCACTTCAGGGCTGTGGGAAACCGGGGGCACTGGGGAGTGGGAGTCGGATCCCAACGCTGGCACACCCGGCTTGACTTCAGGGGCAGCAGCAGGGCTCGGCTCGTGCAGCCCAGGTTTCTTAGCTGGGTTTTTCTCCAGCAGATCGGTGGGGTTTCGTTCGGCATTCTTTGGCGTTTCAGGAAGTGAAGACACATTAGCTTCTGGACTCACTTCTGGTACATTTTGTGGGGGTTGGCTCGCACGTTCCTGGGGGATTTTGCCCTCGGCAGCCTCGGCCGGCGCCTCAGCCTCTCTAGGTGCCTTTGGGGGAGACGTGTTGACAGGTGGAACAGATCCCCCATTCACAGAGTCTCCCTCCTCCTTGTCCTGCTTCCCCGCTCTGCTCCTCAGCGCCCTCCCCCCTCCTCCCGACACCTCCTTGTCTTTCCGTTTCTTTCTGCGGCGAGACGGGCGTTTCTCCGAGGCCTCCTGCCTGGGCCGATCCTCGCTCGCCTTGCCCTCGTCCTCCCCGGCAGGCAGGCCGGCCTCCGCAGGGCTGCTGGGAGCAGCAGGGAGCGCCTCCCCTTGGGTGCTACCCTCACCTGGCGGCGGCCGGCGCTGCGGCGATTCTGCCGGTCCGTCCGCGTGTACCGCTGCGGGGGGGCTCGGCTCAGGGGAGGCCACGGGGGTCTCCTCCTGCTCTCCGGGCCCTAGTATCTCCAGCACAAGCCCTCCTTCCGGCAGCTCCGGCTCACTCCCCTCCAGACACACCGTCAGGCAGTAGGGGTGCATGTGCTTCACTAGCTCACACAGGGCCATGCTGTCGGTTCCGGGTTCGAGAGGCAGGGACACTGCCAATTCCACCATCTCCGGGGAGGCGGGGTCCATCTCGCTCTCTGACCCCTGCGCAGAGCCGCTAGCCTCCCCCTCTTCCTCCTCCTCCTCTCCGTCGCTCCGGGCCTCCCCTCCGAAGCGGATCATCCTCAGCTTCCCCGTGCGCGAACTCTCCTCTCGGGGCTTCCCCACGGACCCCCTCGGCCTGTCCAGCCCCACTGCCTCCACCTGCAAGGGCACAGCGGCAGGGGTCAAGCAGGAACAGCGGGAAGCCATTCTGACAACCCCCACGTTTGCCTCGCTTTTCGGAATACTGCTTTCCAGCTTGGAAAACCGCTACATGCCTGTGGAGGCCCACTGAGTGGAGCCACTGCCAGAGCCTGGGCTCTGAGTCTACTGATCTCTGCACAGCAGTATGTGCTGCAAATTACTTGAAATTACCGCAACAGAATCTTCTTGCAAAGGTACAAATAGAAAAACTCCCCGTGAAACCCCAAAAGTACAGAGCCCATAGAAAGACTACACATCGTTTCCTAAGAAACACATTTTGTGGCCTAACAGAACACAACCTCCAAGCGGAAAACAGTTCAGACTTCCTGAAAATAATTACAAATGAAATTCCAGAAAACTGGGTTGGATGAGCGTGCCTGAATTAGTACTGGGGGGGGGGGGCACTTTTGTTTAATTACAGACAGAAATCTGTTTGGACAGGCCTGTACCAACTGAGCACGCCCAGATTTGGCAAAGTTTGCCCATTCCTCTTTACAGGACTGCTCAAGCTCCATCAAACTGCAAGGGCACAGCTGATGGACTGTAACCTTAATGTCATTCCACAGACTGTTCATCTGTCTTGATTTTAGGCTGCTAGATCACAAAATCTGTTTCTTTGGACAGACAATGTACCATAAGTGTAAACATATACAATTAGTATTAATGTACAATACTAATATAATAAATACTTATCATTCTTCAACAGTGTGCGAATTAAGGTTAAAGGAGTTACATTAAGAAGAGAGGAGAAGAAATGTCAACATTGCTGGAATACTGCCGAGGTAAAGATAAGAAACGCACCAAGCTACATTGAACCGGGGATTAGCAGGGATCTCAATTAATCTCCAGGACTCCTGGTGGGCTGATTAACCAGGCTCGCTTCAGTTAATTTCAGAAAGCGATCACATTTCCAGCAAAATGGAATAAAACAAAGCATGCTATAGAGACACCGGCTGTCCATGAGCTTCAGGAAAGACGGCAAAACCCCGTTGAGATGCAGCTCCTACCAGCTCATGGTTTCCCCTGAAAAAAACCCCGAACTGGATCGCGACGAGAAACGACAAGTAGGTTTTCTTGAGCGTCGGTCATGCTCTGCCCACAAACAACTGTGAACACCACTGCTCTCTCTCTCTCTCTCTGCCACCCCCCATACTGGAAAAAAGCTCTTTACACCTCAGCACCCCCGAGTCCTGGAAGAATCTGGGGAGCCCAGCAGCCCGCAGGGCATTGACAGTGTGCTGCTGGTGACTGTATTTGGACCGCTGGGATCGAACCGGCTTCCACCAGTGAAGCCCAGAGCTAGCTCGGCCGATAGGGGGAGTGAGAACGGCAGTGGAGCCCCGTACCTTGCTGCTGGACGAGGAAGAGGAGGAGGAGAGGGTCCGGTGCCCGCGCAGGCTGAAGGGCTCTCTCTCTGGGGGTGACCGCGCCAGGCTCAGGAACCGCCTCAGCTGAACGAGAGGAAAGAGAGAGAAACCCCAATTGGGGAAAAAAAGAAGAAAAAAAATCACTCCACGCCTGTGTAGAGGCCCACTGAGAGGAGCCACTTCTGCTCTGTCCAACTCAACCTGGGCTTTGAGTCTCCTGATCTCGCTGCACAGCGGTATGTGCTGCAAATTACTTGAATTGACTGCAACAGAATATTTTCACTGAAAAGGAAAAACTCCTTCTGGAACCCAACACGTTCAGGGCCTGTAGAAAGTGTACAGAACCTTTTATCAGCCGAGCAGAGTGCTCTCGCGCACCATGGCGTCACGTAGCAAGTGGAGCTAAACACATTTGTCAGGGGATTTCCAAGGTCCAGTGTAGCAAGGCGAAACAAACGATGGCCACAGTGTAAAATAAGAGGACGGTATAGAGCTTCAGTGAGCTCGCAGACAGCCACTAGCCTTCTCAGACATGTCCCTCAATTCTGATTTACTCTAGTGCCATGCACGTTTTAGTTAGCGGCCCGTGGCTCGTCAAGGGCCTCCTGGCACTACAGAGCGCCGGGACGGAAGCTGCTGGGGGTCCACGCACCGGAGACTGCTCCCGCTCCTTGTGCCCGGCGAGGAGCTCCGAATCCGAGAGCGTGTCGAAGGGCGACAGGTTCTCATCGTCCACGTTGTCCAGGATCTCCGTGAGAGCCGTGAGCAGGGTGGCTTCGCTTTCTTCGGTCAGTCGGCTCTCAGTCTGGGGGGGGACAATTGACGACAATTCAGGGATTTTCAGCTTCACAATGAACATGTACTCAAGTCACCATCGCCTGGCTGTAGACTCCTCGCGCCTAGTAGTTTGATCCGTTCCAGGTGCTACTCGCTGAGGGTTTTAATGATGAAGCAAATCAACAATAAACTTACCGACGTTCTTTTTGATTGCCTTAAGTGTTGCCTAGTTTAAGTCTGAAACTTTAGTTTTTAAGAGCTGTAATGGGTCAAGCTTCTATGTAACAAATCTTACGTTTCCCTTTCTTGACTAGTCCTTGCAATTTAGTATATGCAAAACAGAATACTGCTGTATGTAACCACCCCCCCCTTTCAAATCACCACCACCCTTAAATGAAACAGAAAGCAGGAGGCACGCCTTTAAACAAAGAGGGGTGGAAGTGTGGAAGGAGTCATGTTGTTGAAAGAAAACAGGGGATCAGTTATTAGGGAATATCTGGATAAGATCCTGGCCTTTTCTCATTTGTCACCTTTATTAAGTTCTTGTGAAACAGAGATGAGCTCCCAGTCAGTCAGTAGTAGAGCTGTAAATACCCTCACTGAGCAAACAGGAGTATTCAGGGCTTGGCTCATTATTCAGGACACATGTCACGACAAACTGCTTAGGAAAGGACTCATTTCTTAAATGAAGGCAAGTTCCATTGGCTCTTTCCTCGGCCAGAATGGATCTGTTCTGTAGCCCATTCCCTGCTCCTAGTGTCAGGGGCAGCTCGCTGAAACATGTCAATACACATCAGCTAGGCAGCACATGTCACCGGGACCACCGATTGCCTCCAATTGTTGAAGCCACTGTGAATCTCATCCTTCAACCCGAGACTCAAGGGTCTGCATTCCTAGTACCTGAGAGCCCTGGTCCTGCATGTTTTAAAGGGAGACATCAGACTGCCTTCCTGAAGACTTGGATCAAAATAATTATAAAGAATTAAGCCAGCAGCCATATCACCCTGCAACTCACAACTGGCAACCCACTGAAGCTAAGCAGGTGTGAGCCTGGTCAGTACCTGGATGAGAGACCTCCTGGGAAAAACTAAGGTTACTGCTGGAAGAGGTGTGAGTGGGGCCAGCAGGGGGCGCTCACCCTGCCGTCCATGTGGGTCACCGACGCGGACACTATACTGTAAACAGGCGCCGTCCTTCGGATGAGACGCAAAACCGAGGTCCTGACTCTCTGTGGTCATTAAAAGTCCCAGGGCATTTCTCGAAAAAAAGTAGTAGGGGTGTAACCACAGTGTCCTGGCCACATTTCCCATTGGCCCTTGCCAATCATGGCCTCCTAATAATCCCGATCTATGAACTGGCTTCATTACTCTGCTCTCCTCCCCACTGATAGCTGATGTGTGGTCAGTGTTCTGGTGCACTATGGCTGCCGTTGCTTCATCCAGGTGGGGGCTGCACAGTGGTGGTGGAGTGGAGTCCCCATTACCTGTAAAGCGCTTTGAGTGTCCAGAAAAGCGCTATATAAGTGTAAGTAATTATTATTATTAAGCAAGTGATTTGTTAAAGTGATTGATTCAGAGGCCACAGGGCACAAAATACCAAAAGTTCATTTAAGGGACCATAGATCCCTTAAAGGAATTTGATGCAGGTGTTCCCTAATTTTTAGAAATGGGATATTCATGAAGGCCCATACGAATAACTGGACTGGGGCTCCCCTGGTCAGGATTGTAGATCCCCGTTTTAGCTCTCCAAATATCTGAGCGATAAACAACGAGTAGGGACGTGCCGAAGGAGATTTCCGAGCCGAGAAACCAGTAACCAGGCACCAGACGGTGGCCTCGGTTACTGGGCATAACCAACACCCCACTCAGCCCAGACGTGAAGCACGAGTCCTCTGCCACACTTCCGGAACCTCTCACCTCTCCAGAGGCCGTGGAGCTCTCCAAGATGGACAGGATGGATGGGTCTAAGCAGCCGGGGAAGGACTCCAGAACCTCTTCGGTGTCCAGCCCGACGTCCAGGTTGCTCAGGCTCAAGTCATGGAGATCCTCGCTGGAGAGAGCTCCCTCCAGCACCTCGCTCTGCGCAGGACAGAACAGGAGAGAACAGGGCTGAGTGCTGGCATGCAGCTGGTAGATTTAGGCTGTCAGAAGGCTTCCAATTGCTTCCGACTAGAATTCTAAAATTGCAGACAGCAGGTAGGCAAGAAAATACATGGTTTTGGCTTGAGAGCTAGTTAATGGATTAAAACAACAACAACAACAACAACAGTACAGATAAGGGGCGAATCCTCCAACTGGTTTGATATGATCAGTGGAGTACCATAGGGGTCTGTATTGGGATCACTGCCCTTCACGATTTATAGGAGTCATTGATATTCTGATAACTTAGCAAAACAGTTATAATTGTAAAGGATACAATAGGAGGATGAAACGCTGCCGAAGCTGCAGAAGAAATGGCAACTGACATTTAATCTAATCGGGTACAAACTAAAACGGAAAACGGAAAACTGAGCTTGAAGAAGCTGCTTATGTAAAATAATCAGGTTGTCCGTTTTATTGATCAGCCATGTCAACAGAAGCATGTCAGAATGTTGACCACAAAACAAGGGATGATACTTTAAAATTATTCAGATGAGGTCCGACTAGTACACTGTACAATTTGAGTAACCCTGTTACCATTTTACAAAAAAAAAAGGAAACTAAATTCAGGGGATAACGTTATGTACAAAGGGGTATGAGAACATGCAACAGGCTACCAATCCACATTTCTGATGCCACAAACCCAGCTGCTTATGCTCTTCAGATCATTCACCTGACAGCCAGGTTTCGGCACTTTCTTTCTTGCCGTGCTTGGACATACTTTCCCCATTGTTCAGCAAGCAAGAAACAGCAGGTCAACCCGGCAGACCTCACAGGGAAAGCATCTGTCCCGAGCAAGACCGCCAGCTGCTGAGGTCTTCCAGTGGTGCTGCCTTCTCACCTGTGCTGACTTCCAGAGGCTGCTCCTCGTCAACAAACTGCCCCTGGAGTTTGTCACCTATAGCTGGGTGCACTGCTGCACACTCAACAGCGGCTCAAGATCACTTTTGCATAGAAGAAAGATTTGCATGTTTACTTTTAGGCTCTTGGCACCTCAAATCAATTTATAGACGAGGATGTTAAATAGCTGGAAAAGTACAAGATAGTCACCGTTTTCTCAGCTGCACCTCCCAATGCTGTAAGTAAACTTGCCTTCTGTTTTAGGCAAATCTGAAGCAGCAGGTCTAGCAAAAATAAAAGCTACTTAATAAAACTCAATCATGGGGCATCTGGGTCAGCTCTATAAACATGAGCTGAATGTCAAATCTTGGCTATATCCCACGAAGTGAAGACAAAATGCTTGACAATTTTTAAATTAGTCCCCTCGAACAGCAACCCATTTACTGGAATTCTGTGGAATAGCGAAAAACTGGAAGGATCACATATGTATGCATGCCAAAAAAGGGAGGCAAGGATCAATTTCCATATCGCAAAGAAACTGCTTCACCACTAGCAAAGAGGTGATGGAAAAACCAGCACAAAAAAACATCTCCGCAAGCTGGGACTTGAGCATGGCGTCAGCATTTTTTTTTTAATCAAAGCGAACTTTCAGCAACCTCTGCTCATGACAACTGCATCGCAGAGAGAAGGCAGGAGACCCAGCCCTAGGAGCACAGATTCCTCTGCGTGCAGCCTCTGTCAAACCTTGTTAGCTCAGAGTCCCTCAATACTTCGGTCAGATCTCCCTTGCCTCTTCCTTTAGAGGAGAGCCAACTCTCTGCATTACAGTCTAAACTGCAGTCGAAGCATACCGTCAGCCGAAGGCCATGAATGCTAAGCTAGCCAGGCACATGCCCTGCCCACAAACAAAGACCAGTGGCTGACCAGACCAGAACACGATGGAACATGAATGGAGCTGTCTGGCCACCGCTGTCTGATGGGGGACCATGTGTGTGCACACACACGTCTGTAACAAGGAGACACTGGCAGAGGACGTCAGCAGATCCTACTCCGAATTCCATCCCCACTGGACCTGGCTGAAACACAGCAGAATCCAAATTCCTCCATCCTCCAGAATCCTATCATCCATTTTCAGATGATAGCAGATTTCCCCCCTGATCCGGGTCCTGGCAAACCTCACTCTCTCACATTTGGCTCCTGCCAAGTTCTTTCACATTTAGATGGTTCTAAAACGTTGGTGACAACGTGATCAGTTACGATCCAAATCACACAAACCGACAAATCTGTGAAACTCTTCAGGGGGAGAGCTCTGGAAGGCGAAAAAGGATTAAGTGTTCACAGTAAATGAAGGGGCCTTGATGACAATCACGTGCGCTTATTCGGCAGAACATTTCATTTCTCAGGGTCACGGAACCTCAATATTCTCCACACAGAAACGAGAGGAGATCTGACCGAGGACAATGGGGAAGGAAATGTCAGCAACGTGTACATTGGCCATCATTTTTAAATAGGCACCAACATCCGCCCACAAACGGGAACTGCTCACTCCACATCACGGATGCTCAATGCCCCTCCTCGAGAGCCAGAATCCAGCAGGCTTTCTCGGTCACTTCCAATCATCAAGACAGCTGAAGACCTATTGCATTAGACTGGATGAACAGAAATGTTCAACTGGACTGGGAAACTCAGTGCACCACTGAGCCAGGTCATTGCCTTTCGATGAAATTACTGCAACAGAGAGAGAAGGCTCTGCTCGGAGGCACTAACAGGGGACACTGGGCAGGGCTGCAATTCGTGCCGAAACTCCATGCAGTTATACGGTGCCTTTCACCCAAAACGACCCCAAGCTTCACCCATAGGAAACCCACTTCCCCTCCTGAAACGCAGCCCCACCTGGGTGACGGGTGAAGCGTTAGAGACCTGTGCCACTCTGTCCCCGTGTGCCCTCCTGTATTACTGGCGGTGTCCAGCCCATCCATGCCTGCCTGCGTGCTTCAGGACTCCCCCACCCTTCTCCGCTGTCCAGCCTACGAAGGAGGCGGCTGGAATGGCTCAAGTCAGGAGACAAAGTCCTACTGCGGGCTGCATCTCCCGGAAAGAGCAAATAGGAGGAGGACAGAGGAAGAAAGCTGGCAGAGCTCACTGGAGAAGACTCCTTCAGACCTGTGAGGCACGGCGCCCCTACAGCCACGCACGCATGCAAGCCACTGGGCACAGCCGAGCGCCTCCCTCTGAAATCGGCTGGAAGTGGAGGGGAACAGAAGTCCACCGCAGCCAGAACCCTTTATCCAGAAGCGTCCCATCAGTCAGTGAGCAGCGACAGTACTATAACCCCCCACCGGGACCACCAAACCCCCTGTACCTGGGAAGAAGGGGACTCTCCTCCCCGCCCAAAGACACCAAGTCAACCCCCAGCCTGCCTGCACTACCTGCGCTCACAAAAACATTAAGCCACACGCGCTGCAAGGCATCCCATCAGGGGGATGCCATGCTGCCGCAGGACTGTACCACAAGACTCCTGCGCTGCCAGCGAACACAACATTCCTCAACATCCGTCTCGACTCCCATCGGGACAAGGACCGATCCCAGACATTAACTGCAAACAGGCATTGGGCTCCTCTCATTTGCTAAACGCGTGACGCCATCTTCTGTGCAACTGCTGCTCTAGTTCCTCCAGCCAGCCCCTCATGTCAGCCTGCCATCCTGAACGGCTTAACGGGTAGAACAGCAGCCCCACCCTCATCAGCACACGACATCCCTGTGACTCGGTGTTATGCAGAAATGAGCCACAGACCCGAGGTTAAAGTGACAGTACTTGGGAATCCATTTCCAACTTGTGCTTTAGCTACACATCCAAAACAGCACACTTGGTCGGGGGTATCGGCTGGGAACAGACCCTCGCATTCCCTCACCAGACACTAAAACACTGGAGAGCAGCTGCAGTTCAGATACCACACTGCTCAGACCGCAAGTTTGAGCCAGACACATTCGCAGCCTGGCTGAAACGAACTTTAATCGAGGAGGACTACAAAAAAATATAGCTACATAGCACAGACATTGCTATGTTGTTGTTTTTTAGAAAAACCTTCACATATTTCCAGTGAAACTGGCTGTAAACAGAACATGAAGACAAGAACTGCATGTCTCCAGCCAGAGAGCACTCCTTCCATGTAGCTGAATTCCCAGGCTGAAATCCACCAACTTAATAGTAGATGATACTAGGGACTCCTGCATCTTTCCCTTTTCTAGACCTGGTAACAGGCAGTGGTAAGGGCTCTGGACAACTAATCGGTTGTGGGTTTATGAGCAAGGCACTGCATTCAGACTGCTCCAGTAAAATAACGCGAGTTATTTAATGAAGTAAGAATGCCTTAGGAAAAATAAAAGTGTCAGGCAACATGAACGATGTGAGCCTCAGGCTGCATCATGTGTCCTATCTTTCCTGCCTCGATAAGAGAAATACAACATGTTGAGATGATCCGTTTCTCCTGTATACCGATTTTGTTTTTTTAAGATCGTCATTAAAGGCGTCGCTTTTGAAATTCGGGTTATGCACTCTTTCCAACAACACCGGGTCACCGGGGAAACGACCACACGTGGCCCCCGTTCTCCGGCCTGGACACCTCTACCCACGTGCTGTACTAAAAACAAGCATGGCCTTTAATAGCCGAATGTAAATAGGGGATCCTGATAACAGATCTTGATTTTAACTCGGTCAATTTAAAGCCAATGCCCGACAACACTGGTTTTAGGAATATGTGCAACCCTGCCCAAACAGGTACGAAAGTGAAATTACTTTTTTTTCCTTCTTTGCACCGATAGTTAGATCCGTCTAAACCTCTGGTCGTCTGTTATCGCACGTGTTGATTCTTACAGAAACTCAGTCAAAAGGAACATTTTAGATGACTTTTAGGGAACACTGGTGTTCAGTTACATTTGTAATGGAGTCTGAAAGAAAAATAAACAATTTCGAGAATCGTGCCGTTTTTCGAAAGTATAAGAACCGATCGTCAACACGTATTAGAACGATGCGATTTGATCATAGCTGCACTGTTCTCTGGTGAAATCAGAGGCGTGCCTACTTCCATTTTCATGGTAATCAATTTTCATTCATTGATCCTGAAGCTTTTACCACGTGTGAATGACTCAAGCTTACAGAGTTAGGAACAAATAAAAATTGAGGTATTTATTAACAGTCATCCTTTAAACTATGATATTTATAGACAGCCACCCCTTCAAACGCGTTATAAAGATATCCGAGATGATAACGTTATAAGCGAAAGCATATTTTCGATACTAAAAGTTTTTCAACCAGCCGATGTTTTCAGCATTACCAAATTGCCACCCAAGCAGATTCGCAAGACTATGCGACAAATCGATAGTACAGAACTAAAATAAACCAGATGTATACATTCATCACAGTAACTGCATGAAATCCAACCATCTAATCACGCAGAGAAGAGGAACTTTCCTCTTTTTTCAGAAGCCAGACACGTAGCTGCACTGGAACATGTCGCCAGAAGGATAGATAGCTCAGACTACCCATGCTGGCAATCGTCTCGTCTCACTAACTTTTTCGGATCACGCGGAAATTTTATTTTAACAGAACACCCAGCAAGTGTCCGATTTTATCGCTTCTTCTTCCATTTTACCCCTGGTACTGAAATGCATTTCTACAAGTGCCACTACATCCACGTGTCACTCGCCAGAGCACATAACTGGGTACGGTACGCGATCTTGCCCACTACCACCCATGAAAAGGTCACGACAGTACCCTTCACTGCCAGCCGCAACACATCATTACCTCGTCCAGTGCAAAGGCATTGAATAATTCCATGCTACCGGTGGTTAAGATCTCCTCGCCTGCTCCCCACCACGCCGCCATCTTACAGCCCCTGATCACAGTCTATTATAACGCAGAACCCGGCCCGGCGTGGAGACACGTGGTTCTACCATTCCCGGCAAAGTGATGCGGGAAGTCAGAGTTGAGCACCGCCCCCAACACGTGGGAACACTGAGTGAGGTGACGTGCTGCGGCGGATGTGAACTGCGACGCTTTTAGACGGAAAAAAAAAAACCTCATAAAAGTATCTTTTCTTTCCTAAAAAACAATCTTTCCTCAACTGAACGATACACTGGACGGAAACAGTTTTGTCTTCTGTCGTTGATTGACACAAAGTGGTTTACCGTTTCAGCACCGTGATAAACCATTAAATAAAAATGGCTTCTAAATGAGTTTGCATTATGAGGTGCCGCCCTGTTATTCATTTGCTTATTAAAATCGTGTTATATTGATGGCACGTTGTGAGATATTTATTCTCACTCACAGTTTTGCGAAAGAGTACTATTTTTATGTGTAAAATGCACATGGCGACTCATTGGTTTAGAAAGCTTATTGTAAAACACAAAAAAGCAAACCTCAGCACTTTTTATCTGTTGTTAATGCAACCTTTCATAATAATTTAAAAGGAAATGTGAAAAATATTTAAGTGGCTTGTGAAGGAGAACGAGGAGATGTTTCTTCAGTGGAAATTTGGGAAAAGGCCCCAACTAAGGCTGGATACATATTTTTTGCAACAGAGCACGAGAGATATAGTATAAAATATATCTGAAGAAGGCTTCACGGCCGAAACGTTGTTTTCTCTCTTCTCTTTTCAGCATGGAATAAACCTATTACTTGTTCCTTTGCAGACTACACGTGCTGACGCAGCTACCCACCTGAACTAGTATAAAATATGCAGTGTATTCTTAAAACACCAGTAACTGGTAACAAAATGAATTCTGGATTTTCGGCCATTTGTAGTAACTGTGGAATAGAAAAGGGAACTCATGGACATTTAATTTGGTCTTGTACCCGAATAACTATATTCTGGAATTAATTTAGAATTGAATTAGAAAGGGTTTTGAAATGTAAAGTGAAGTTAAATCCTTGGAATGACAGATAATAGGCTCCAGATACAGTAGGGTGCTAATCAGCTTATGTTGGTTAAAATGACTTTTCGTAGACCGTAAAAGTATTATTTTAAATTAGGTTAAGGGTGCTTCCCCAAATAATTAATCAGTGGTATAGTGAGATATTAAAAATTGTACCATGTGTAAGAATGTGTGCAAGAATGATGGAGGTAAAAAAAATATTAATTTTGTCTGATTTGGAAACCTTTTCTTGTAGAAATTGTTTTTTTACTAATGGCAAAGTGGGGTTTATAATGATCAGTAATTATTTATTAATAGGGTTATATTAGTTTCCATTTAGTTGTTTTCTTTTTTGTCAAGTTTTTTATGTAGTATGTTTTTTTAATTTGTTGTGTTTGGTATTGTTTGTATAATCATTAAGTATGAATTGTAATTATTATATTATTTGGTTAAACACACTTATGAATCTGTATTACTCGTTATTTTGAAATAACAAATCCACTTTTCTTCCACGGCTTTCAAAAACCCTCATTTCCTTTCCTTCACCAGAGCAGTTTTCCGGGAGGCACAGCACCAGTATTGTGATTAATTGAGAGCGCCCCCCAGCGCCACCACACGGTAAATACGGATATATTTAGGACGGAAGTTCCAGAGAAATGTACACATTGTTAACTAGAGCACGTCAGAGCAAGATAAGAACAGTTACCAGCCGGAAAAGAACTCATTATGAACTTATTACTTATCATGGTCCCACGAGATTTAATATTCTCCAAATGAGGCATCTATGAAACCCTATGATCAAATGAAAAGGGTCAGGCTGTGTCCAGCAATATACTGTACAGTAAGACCTGGCGTGTATCCCTCAGTCTAACACCTTCAGGAGCAATGGGACAAAAGGCGATGTGGAGAAAGGTCAAAGAGTGGGTTGGACATCAAGGGAAATTGAACACCATAAAGGATTACCGCTGGGACACGTGACAAGGACATACAGACTTGACAAATAATAATAATTGCTTACACTTATATAGCGCTTTTCTGGACACTCCACTCAAAGCGCTTTACAGGTAATGGGGACTCTCCTCCACCACCACCAGTGTGCAGCATCCACCTGGATGATGCAACAGCAGCCATAGTGCGCCACAACGCTCACCACACATCAGCTATCAGTGTTGAGGAGAGCAGAGTAATGAAGCCAATTCAAAGAGGGGGATTATTAGGAGGCCATGATTGGTAAGGGCCAATGGGGAAATTTGGCCAGGACACCCCTACTCTTTTCGAGAAACACCCCGGGATTTTTAACAACCACAGAGAGTCCTCGGTTTTACGTCTCATCCGAAGGATGGCGCCTGTTTACAGTATAGTGTCCCCGTCACTATACTGGGGCATTAGGACCCACGTAGACCACAGGGTGAGCACCCCCTCCTGGCCCCACTAGCACCTCTTCCAGCAGCAACCTTAGTTTTTCCCAGGAGGTCTCCCATCCAGGTACTGACCAGGCTCACACCTGCTGAGCTTCAGTGGGCTGCCAGTTGTGAGTTGCAGGGTGATATGGCTGCTGGCTAAATGGAGATTTGTCTGCCTCTGTTGCAGCAGGTTGATAAGAACATAAGACAGGTCAGCAACGATGGGAGAGCAAACTGCCCATGTAGGCTTTTTGATTGTTAGTAGTTAATAGATGCCAGCTGCTTCTTGAAAGAAGTCAGAGTATTGGCTTCAATCACATGGCTGAGTAACTAGTTCCACACTCCCACCACACTTTGAGTACAGAAGAACCTCCTGTTCTTGGTTTCAAATGCACTTCCACATTGATGCAAAACTTTAAATCTGATTAGCCCGTGACCAGAGCGCAGACTGAAGCAGAATGCACTTTGCATAGTTTCGTATTCTGGCCACAGCCATGTCTCCTCGGGACTATAGCCAGTGGTATGATCGCAATATGCGATATTTCAGTTGATTGCAAAATACAGTGACTTTAGCTTCAACGGGAATAACGTCACCCCATAATGAAATGTCTTTAGGAATGATTATTGTGGAATTGGGCGTAAGACGATTTGGCTGAGGGTCCCAAGCTGGCCAGAGGATGAGGAAATCAGGACCCCCAGACAGAGAGAAGTGGTACCCATAAACAGCTTGCACCAGTGGAGATGGCGGGAAGGAGCGATTGCAGGACGTCGAATCTGAGCAAGATATGGACTGCTGTGCTATTTGTAGTTTTTCAGGAAGGAAGTTGTGAGCTGCAGGGTGATATAACTGCTGGCTATTAAATATAGGTTTGTAAGGAAAGAGCCTGTCCTAACAGCACCCTGCAACTCACAACTGGCAGCCCACTGAAGCCAAGCAGGTGTGAGCCTAGCCAATACCTGGATGGGAGACCCCCTGGGAAAACTAAGGTTGCTGCTGGAAGGGGTGTTAGTGGGAGCAGTAGGGGGTGCTCACCCTGCAATCTGTGTGAGTCCTAATGCCCCAGTATAGTGACGGGGACACTATACCGTAAAAAAGGTGTTGTCCTTTGGATGAGACTTAAAACTGAGGTCCTGATTCTCTGTGATCATTTAAAATCCTAGGGTCTTCCTTGAAAAGAGTAGGAATGTTAAATCTCTTCTTGGCCTTTTAACAATCATGGCCTCCTAATAATCCCAATCTATGAATTGGCTTCATTACTCTGTTCTCCTCCCCACTGATAGCTGGTGTGTGAAGAGCGTTCTGGTGCACTCTGGCTGCTGTCGCATCATCCAGGTGGGGCTACAGATTGACGGTGGTGGAGGGGAGTCCCCATTACATGTAAAGTGCTATATAAGTATAAAGATTATTATTACTCTTATTTCCAAAGTATTTTCATCCAAACAAAGAGCCTTTTAGAAGCAGGCCCTCGACTGTGGGTCTAGCCTGGAGATGATTTTTTCAGAGAAAACATAATTATATCTCGTCCCATCTTTGGGCGAACCAGAGAAAAAGAAAGACAACGTGTCCCACTCCTGTTTTTGCCAGTACCCGCACCGGATTCACCTAATTCCTTGCCATCAGTGTACTTGTTGCAGCACTCCTACAGTAGCTATGATCTCGTTCACACATCTGCTCGGCCGGGGCTGGAAGGCCAGCCAGTTCCCTCTGCAGAGCCACTGTCTCTGTAGTAATCGGGGGAGGGGGGGTCTGCCTATTTCTTTTCTCCTCTTGGAGAAAAACAAACTGCGTGTATTCGTTGCACAACAAATGTGCCCCGTTTGCCCTGCCAAATAAGTATAATTACAACACTTCAGCGCAAATAAAACTATCAGGCTGACACTTCTAAAACGATAGTGCCCAGTTACACAAGGTCAAAAGGCCATTTTCTTCAGGATCTCTTCCAAATGCGTAGTGGGCGAAGATCAGGCAAGTGGGAAAACACGCGCGTTTGGCCGTGATCGGATTGTGTCATGTTGTTTGACTCCTAAAAATAAAGTCACTCCTAAATAATACCGTAAAACCCAAGGTAGAGGACTAAGGAAGTGTTTGTGATCAACATTGCTTTTTAAGTGTCCAAATGGGTTGAGCGGCCGACGCATCAGATATCTTTGGGAAGTGTCAATTTCAAGAAATGCAAAATTCTAATCTTCACTGTAGTTTTTAATTTAGATGAACACCGAGAACTGGGAAAGTAATTTATCTTGTATTCCAAGACCTCGTCGTCTTCCCCCCGTGTCGAATACCACAACAAACAAAAGGCCTTGCATTCCAGCAGTTTAGTAGTCGTACGTCCTCCGTGTTATACGGTAGTCTGTGATCCGAGCCCCGCCCCCTTCCTTGGTGAAAAATACGCCTGTGTGTTTTGGCTGCTGAACCGATGGAGGTTATCGTTGGAAGTGATTTGCATCAACGTGCACCTTTAAAAAGTAAGGGAATGCCGTCCTACCGCAGTTTGCTTTGTGTTTGCGCGTTTTCAGAATTTCATTAAATGGCTTTACTCACCGTTTGTTATTTAGAATTGGTTGTTCCGCAACGATTATTTTGAGACTGTGATTCCTGACACCTTAATGAACATCAGAAATCATTTAATAGCCAACGTTTGTGCTACTCTTTTGCCAAATGAGGTACACGGGCAATTCCACTTTTGTCATGAGGGTGGCTTGTAGTTTATCAGTTCTCATATAGGCCCGAAAAGCCTGATACAAAGATAAAGTACAGAAAGTACTGATATTCTGTTAGTTATCCAACTTTGTCATATTAAAATATACGACCTCTTTACAGAGAACATGTGTGGATCCAAGCAC